TTATGAAATCAGAGGCCTAAAAGAAGTCATGGAAATTTCATTGGAGGAAATGAGTTTTGACTCTGGTCTTGAAGGACGAAATGGACTCAGATTAGCAAATATTTAGAAATCACAAGCACATGCCAGGCCAGTGTGGTGGCTCATGCCTGTCATCCCAGCACTTTGGGAGGCCCAGGTGGGAGGATCGCTTGAGGCCAGGAGCTGGAGACCAAAATTAAAAAAATTAGCTAGGTGTGGTGGCTCGCGCCTGTAGTTAGTCCCAGCTACTTGGGAGGCTGAGGCAAGAGGATCCCTTGAGCTTGAGAGTTTGGGTTGCAGTGAGCTATGATTGTGCCATTGCACTCTAGCCTGGGCGACAGCAAGATCCGTCTCTATTTAAGAAAAGAAACACATTCCAGACAGTACCCAGAGGGAAGGGGTCACAGGTTCATATCTGATCCTCCAGCAGTGTTTTCTCCACTGGGGCTGATTGCTTTACTTCTTAGCTCCTTATTTCTTTTTTTCATCATTTTTAAATGATGAAAATCGTCTATTGCCATGACAACACAATGCAATCGTGAACTCTGACTGCTTTGTTCCTTATTCAGAAGTGATGTTCGTTCCATCAAGGCCATTTCAGCAAATATTTCTCATTCTACTCCTGTCACTCGCACTTGCATTAACTCGTAACGGATTGATAAGCCGTCAATAACAATTAGACGCAATAGCGGAATGAATCCCAGTAGTATCGACACACATGGGCCTGAAGAATCCACAGTCGTCACCTCAAATGTGTGCTCGTTTTTAAAGTGACTCATTTAACAGCTTCCCATTAGTTCTGTAATCTGCATAGTGTATTCAGGTAGAGCACAGAGCTTTCTAACAATGGAAGAGATTAGAAACAACTATCAAATTAATTCATCTTTTCCAGACCTGTCACACACAAATCCAAAAAGGAAAGTGAATCAGCATTAATCAGTGAGTACGTATTTGCTCGCTAGGCGTAGGGGCTTCCCAGCGGCGGCAAAGAGACAGGCCCCGTGGAGAGTTTATAAAAGTTTTACCCCACACTCCATGGCGGATAATGAGATGCTATCTGCGGCAGAACACGTCTGTCTTGCGAGATGACCAGAGACGTATTCCTTAATCCTGTGAAGGGCAGGACAGCGCCGTCTCCCTGCATCTCTAGGACCTACATGGAGTCACGGCCTCTCAGCTCTGCCCGGGGGCCCTGGGAGAGTTTTGTGACAGGCAGGGGTGGGAGGGGTCCCTTTAGTAACTAACATCCTGTTACACAACAGACTGCACCAGGTCTCTCTCTTCCCCTTCCTCGCCCCCATCCAGCACGGAAACCAGCTTGTCTCCATCTCGTTAAGGCAGCTTGCTTCCTTGCTGTCCTCGTTCCTCAGCTTGCCACGTCCTCCTGCTCTCCGATTCCTTCTCCCCACTTTCTGGGCTTTTCCTGGAGCCCCACCATCTAGTTCTTGTGCTGGATCTCAGCGTCCCGCCCCTCCCCTCCCAGGCGTCGCTCCTGAGCCCTGCTGCTGCCACCGCAAAGCTCCAGAGTGCCCAGACTCTGGATCCCACGTGCTTTTTTGTTTCTGAATGAGCCTCTGGGCTTTTTTAAAATTGAGATATGATTCACATACTGTTGAATGTGTGCAATTGAGTGGTTTTTAGAATATTCTGTTGATTTTTTAGAATTATAGCAAAATATATATAACATTAAACTTGCCATTTCAGGCATTCTTAAATGTAGAATTCAGTCACGTTAATTATATTTCAAATGTTGTACAACCATCACCGTTATCTACTTTCAAAACTTTTCCATCACCCTAACCAAAAACTGTACCCACGAATCAGAAATGAATTCCCCATTCCTCCCTCCCCCTAGCCCCCGCCCCTGGTAACCTCTAATCTGTTTTCTGTCTAAATGAATTTGCTTATTCTAGATATTTCACACATGTGGAATCATACAGTATTTGTCCTTTTGTGTCTGGCTTATTTAATGTTTTCAAGGTTCATCCACGCTGTAGCCTGTGTCAGAGCTTCATTGGTGTTTATGACTGAACAGTATTCCATTGTATGGACGTACCACATTTCGTTTAGCCATTCATCTGTCGAGGGACACTCAGGTTGTTTCCACCTTTGCTTATTGTGAGTGATGCTGCAGCGAGCACACACGTATCTGTTTGAGTCCCTGCTGGCCTTTGAGTACATACTTGGGGACGGAATTGCAGGTCCTAGCTTTTTGAGGAATAAGCATATGGACTTTTTGCATTTAAACTGTCATAAGTGGGAAGTGTAGGCCTTTATTCATTAAAATTTATTTTATCTAAGTTAATGTGAAGAGGC